TGACGTCAACTTTCGCCAGAAATCCCAATGATACAATTTTTCACAACTTTTCAACCCCTCAAATTAACCCTCCGCCGCCCCTGCTCACGCATTTATTTTTTTAGGTTTATTATAAGCCCTTTTACCATTTCCACTTATAAAAGTCCAGGTAACAATTTTTTTTCTCCAAGTGTAATTTCTTTGGACTATTATTTTAGCTAAAAATGAGAGTTTGTGTTGCCAGAATTATTCTAGTGAAGGTAAAAACAATAAAAATTTTTACTTGCTCTGATGAAACAAAAGATAAATATCGTAAATTACTGTTATGTAAATTTAAATATTTCAGTATTTCGCATTCTCTTTGTAGTCCTGTAGGATTCCTTAACTCCAAAATAATGAATATGTATAACAAAGCTGGACAGAATTTAAGATGTAGGTCATAGGTACAGTCCGTACAATACTTTTTGAGATAGAATTCCAAGAAAAGAATAAGCCAATAAAGTTCTGTTATTGGAACTACTGCAACAATTTACCGCGGCAGGGGCGTGCTTTGAAATTTACCGCGTTATTTTCAGAATATTAAAATATACAGGGTGTCCGGAAAGGTCACTTAAAAAATGAAGGGGTATACAGGGGAGGTCAAAATAGTTATAGTACTTCATAAAAAAATGTTTCCTGTCGGGTTTCGTTGTGGAGTCATTCGCCTTCAAAAAGAAAACTTTGAAAAACAAATTCCAATTATAACTTCTAAGTCATTACCATGACAACATTGAATTTGGGCAATTAAAGTAACTCATGGTAATGTTCATTTCCAAGTATAAACGGATATTCAATATTCCAGGATTATGCAGGAACAGACGATAATTTCGTCTTGGAATTCTATCTCAGCAAATATCGTACGAACTGTAGAAATATTCCCTTAATTTTGCTTCTTATAATAGTATATTTCATTTCCTCTAAAACCAGAAGGTCGTTGGAAGTGAAGTAAGTAATTATAATTTATAGTGCTGACCAGGCTGACCATGAATTGCAGAATAATAACCTCGGGTAGAACTGCGTTTTTCATTAATTCATAGTGCATCTCCTTCGCAATTTTCTTCTTGGATGGCTAAAACGTAAATCTTTAGCAGGATGAAATGGACTACTTCATAACTGGTGGTTTTACACTGAATTTGAAACTTTTTTGTTTTTTCCATATAATTGTAATAGACATTTCATTTCTACCTTTTATCAAGTTTTAAAACTATAATAAACGAGGAAATTCAATTATAGACACCTTCGTACACATCTATACCGCTTGTCGTTTATTGAGACACAGATAAGAGAAAGGATAGGAGAAATATAAATCGAGATATAAATTATAGGTAGAAATAGGTACAGTGAATTAATTTTTGTTATAAATATTTTTTATAAAACCTTTTCAATACAAGAAAAACATAAAAAAATATAAATAACTTAAAAAATAAAGAAATTCAACGAAAATTAGGTACTTCAAACATAAGCTCGGATTTTTTGAAAATTTATAGATCATTCTATTAATAAAATCTTCATTGTTGTCAAAAATAAGCTTTCTATGTATACTCATCATTGCTAGGCCATTGAGACGACTTTCATATATCAAATTGATGAATATTTTTGTACTTTTTTTCGAATTTCTAGGGCCCCCCCTTGGCGACGCCCTTGAGACACACCATGGGAATTTCGGTTATCTTAAGATATACGGTGTGGGCCAAATTAGAACAAAGTTGCTAACCAAGTTGCTAACGAATAACATGCCGAAGAGAAATTTGACATTGATCTTTCTTCGTTTTGAATTTATCGGAGAAAAACTAGAAATGTTGATTGTCGTTTTAATATTTTGAAAACGAAAAAAGGTGAACCTTTTAAATTTTAACATTATTAAGACATTTTCGAGTAAATTTTTGTGAAGATTTGAAATATGTCGTCGTACTAACCAAGACGGTAAAACCACATTCAAATTTTCGCTGGTATATCATATACCATATTTATATTAAAAATTATATTTTGACACTTCAATTACATCTAAAAATGCATTTCCCGAACGAAGAAGGCCAAATATGCTTTAGTAATTTATCAGCAAGTTTGAAGATTTAGATTTTACTTAAAAAAACAAAGATTGTAGATTTTTCGATCAAATGTATTGTTCCAAAGTTAAACGACATTAAAAAAATTACAGTTTTACATGCAAAAATACTGATTTTAAGATAAAAAATTATAGTTAGAGGTATATTAGTCAGCCTAGACGTGATCGCTCAATAAATCAATTTTTTTCGAGTTTTCAAGCCCTGAAACGGCGGTTACAGAATTTTTGGTAGTAAACCATTGTTTTCCATTGTACTGCTCACATTACTACTAGTAATGTAGTGTCAAATTTTGGTCAATGCACACATCATGAGGGACATTAATCAGCCACTATTATTTTCTGAGAAAGAATAGGTACTTTTAAAGTTGAAGTTAGTAGGTAAATGAACAATTTTGTGAAATTTTATTCTAAATTACAAGAATGTAGTTTCTCAACACATTATTTTAATTAAAAAGAAACCCTGTTTTTCTTTGTGGAATTTATTAGTTTCATTATTTTCAACAAACAAAAACAAACGTCAAAGTAAAGGCCGATTCTCACTTGCGTGCAAGGCATGTGCTCGGCACAGGCAAAGCACCGGCTCGGCAAAATATTTTAACAACTGTATCTTATGGGTTTTGAGGATTGTAGTTCACACTATACGTGCAGCGTCTCGGCAAGCAACAGACTTTGCACGCGACGTTCTTCCGAAAGAATATTTGCAGGGCATGTGCCGAGCATGTTCCGACAAGTGTGAATACTCTCCAGGCAGTCAACTTGCAATCATAGGATTTTTAGTTGAGTTTCGTCAGAACAAGATGAAATTTTTATTGAATATATCAGAGAAAATGAGGTTATTTACGATTTTTCTCACAAAAAATACTCAGACAATAGGTATATTTATTAAACATGTATTAATCTATTCAGATATATTAAAACAAACACAATTTCTTAACAATAAAATTTTGTAATTTAATAAAACGTCTTTTCCTTTTTCGGGATTTTTTATTTTCTTGCTTTTCTTCATCTAAGATTAGAACAATTTTTACCAAAATGGAAGTCGCGAACATTATTTCGCAAAGCTAGGGAACTACCTGCGGCATGTCTGTCGCAGTGTGAATTGTCTATTGTCTCTGAAAACTCGGCCCATGACGAGTATGTGCCCTGTCCTGCCGTTGCCGATCCGGTTTCTTGCTCGTCTAATGAGAATCGGCCTTAAGGATTTAAGATTTATAAAAATTGTGCGCAGTTGGCCTCCTGTTCTTTAATGCATGTAGGACAGAACCGGACAAATAAGTTTGCGTCTGAGATAGCCCCGTCCAGAAAAGCGCACTGGACACCGCAAGGGAAACACTCCAGAAGTGTATTTGTAAATCGCTATCCTATAATATTCCTTCAATTTGGAGTTATTCGAGGTATTGCGAGTATGAAGGGATAATTCCTCGGATATTTAGTGCGACGACAAATAAAACCCTTACAAAATATTATGCAATATTTCTAAGTGCATGCGGAAATATTAGATTCGAATGTAAGTACCTAGCGTGGTTGTCTTTCAAGATATCAGAAAAGTATGCTTCATAGACTAGTTTTAATAAACAAAAACAGAGTTATGGAAATAAAGATAGCTACTTATTTTTCTTCCGTTCTTTCCGATTATTTATTTTCACATCCTCTATTATGCCTTTGAAGCAACGCACTTATTTCAGAAACACCTATGTAGATCTATCCTCAGGTATCTTTTAGTAAGATACGGACAAAAATAAGAGTATTACAAAGACCAGAAACAAAAATAAACAAAAGAGTTTCAATTCCCAGGAAGTGCGTAGTAGTCTCGGAAAAAATCCAAAAAATACTGGAGCCTGCCACTAAATATAGTGGAGTCTCTGTGGAAGTAGTAGTTTTAAGGTATAAAATTTTGTTTAATTTCCTTCGAAATAGAAAGAAAATTATTACAAAAATAAATTATGTATTACTTCGGTAGTTAACGAATATTTTCCAAATATTTTCACATTTTCTTATTATCTGTGTAACATTTAATTAGCCACTTACAAAACAAGTGGCAAACAAATATATTTTGATTTACAAATTGCTCGTTATCGTTTGTTATTTTGAAGAAATGGAACCAGTAGTTTTATAATCTAGAATGGAACGATCTAGCTAAAAATTTAATTTGATATTTTCAAAATTAAAAACATTGAATTTTTCAAACTGGAATAATTGAAAAATATTAATTTGATACTGCACCTATAGATCGCTATTTTAAATTGAATTTTTAATAAATTCGCCTAGTTATGTATCTTAAATAGCTACCTATTTATCTAAAACAAGAAGAACGAAACTTACTTATTTCTGGATATAATGAATTTTTAATCGAGAAAACCGCTGATCAGTTGTGCCCAAATATTACTAAAATATTACTCAAATATTACTCAAGATCGTACACTAAATTACTCCTGAGGTTACTCCCTCAAAAACTTAGGTAGGTAGGTATTTAGAAACACTAGGTACTGTAACTGTAGGAAAATCCAGGTGCTTAGGTCCTACGTTAATATTGTGTGGTAGTACTGGTAGTTATATCTAATAATGATTATTATTATTACTTTTTGAATTTAGGCACAAATTACCTTCTATGCGTAAAATGTAGGTGCTATGTTGAGATTTTAAGAACCATGATTAACTTAAGTGCCTTAATATTGTGTTAATTAAGTTATATTGCAGATTTTTTTTTCTATATAAAGAGTACTCAGTACAAAATTATTATTCTCAGCCACTTTGTTTTATTAAAATTCTAAACTAAATTACAAATTATTTATTGCCTGCCTACAGTATTTGATGTTAAAGCAGTAATGTTAATATTCTGAAAATCACTTTTTTGTACAATTGCATACTTATACTAGGGTAGTCTTTCTACATTATTTATAAAAGTAAATTTACCTACCTGTTTCCAAAAAAGACTTTGGAGGAAACGTCGCTGTTACCCAAGATCCAATTATTATTAAAGATGATCCGAAAAGAAACAATAAATTAAAGTTTTGCACCATTTTGCCGGCACAAATATATTATATTAAATATTTCACATTTTAACTAGGATTATGCTTCATTAGTACAGAAGAACAAGAGACTTGGACACTGTTAGCATTCCTTCACGGAAATTCTACAGCACAAAGGAACGTAGGTATACGATTTCAAACCCTTGTTCTCTTAATAAAATAACAAACCGCTTGCCTTTGATTGAACATACACACACACACCAAAAGCAAAATAATACACAAAACATGCACAAAACCCAGGGATCCCAGAATTACTAGATGGTATTAAACTGGTTTCGTAAGATAGATCGTAATAAATCGTGAAATTTCGTATGCTTTAATCCTTTCAATAAAATGACATTTATCGATAAAAATATTTTTTATTCATATTTCTCACTTATTTATGTGTTTTAAAATGTTTCGTCAATAAAAATTATCTGGCATTTATAAAAACTAAGCACAAGAGTTACTTTTCCGACAGTTTTCGCTCATCTTTGTTGATACCTTTGAGTATAAACAAGAGAAGATAATTCACACTAATGTTCGCTGTTTTAGATAAGCTTAACCATCGGCCGACCAGGGGGCACATCAGTCAACGCAGTCGTGTGTAAGGAGATGTGACACAAGCAAGAAAAACATATTTCTTAAATATTTATAATGGAATAGTAAAAGTAATAAATATAATAAATAATGATAGTGAATGCGTAATTTGACCGATCTAACGATGTCGACCGGGATGCCCTCTAGTAGTTGACGGCCTAAAGTCCCTTAAACTTGTGGGCCAACGTTAGCATTAGCATATCTGGGTAAGTTAAATAAAATCGATATATTAAGGGGAATATTGAATAGCTGAGAACTTCAAGAGCTGTTTGCTGTTTTTGGATGTAAAACATAAAGCCTCTAGTACCCGACACTCCATTTTTCTCAGTCAAATAAATAAATTAATTAAGCTATGGAATTTATAAAATATATTAACTATTTTATTACACATTCCAATTGTTTATTGTAATTAGTAAGTAAATTTAGTTAATAAACAATTTCAATTTAAATATCATGATTAATGATTTTTATCATAAACATCAATTATTAAGTCAAAATGTATAGCCAGAATTCACTAAAATATTTAAAAATTAGAACTAGACTTACAATTTCTTCATGAATTTATTGTCACCAATAAATTGACGACAATTTTTTTTGTATTACATACAACAGTTAATTGAAAGTTAAAACATTTATCAATTTCTTTGACTGTGTATAAAGGCCTTCAGGTATTTTTTGCAGTAGAAATGCATAGAGAAAACCCACATAGCAATCATTTCGTTTTGAGTATGAAAATTAAACTTCAACTAATTTTATCTGTCGACAATTAGTTTATTGATAATAAATAGTAGTATACCTACTAATAAATAATAAAGTAAATAAATTAGATCAGTAAATTCATTAATTTTGAATTAATTCAAAAATGTATTTGATAAAACTATCTTGAGAATTATATTTTTATTTTTTATTATGATGGTCACCCTTACTCAGTTAGGATTTTTTGAGATTTTAAGTTCAAACAGGTTTGTTGACATATTTGTAGTTTGTACGGCATTTGTCAATATGTCAAGTTTATACGTCGTTTGAGTGGTTTTTATGTTTTTAAATGAATTTATTATATATATTTGGATATTCGTAATTAAAAATACATTCAAAGATAAATGATCTGTAAAACTCTGGATTTTTAGATTATTGGTACGTATTTTTTCTACCATGTTATATTTTAGTCAGGTGGTCAAATGACGGTATCTACTACATATTTATTGTGGATTTTACCATACTAAAATCGTCAATTATCAAAATTTCACATTACAAGAAATGTAACACGGTATGGCAAATTAAAATTGATATGTTTACTTTTTTAGTAATCTGTTTTAAAAAATTTGTGTACACATTTTGCAAATAAGTTTTCAACAAATTTACTAAAGAAAGTTGATTGCTAGATATTTGCCATTATTAATTACTTTAACAATATTTCAGTTTAATACTCTAAAAATGGAGGAACAGGGACCCGAGGTAACATTTCTATTTCAATTCGGGTTAATAAGGGATGCAGTTACAGTACCCCAGTCCTCTTTGAATCTCAAAACTATTAAGAACCTCGCATGTGATTTCCTCAATTCTAAGGTACGTTATTATTTTATTATATCTATCTATAATCAACGTTAACTAAACTTGTTATTAATTAGAAAATATTTGTAGATCCCAGATCATGGCGTAAATAAGTTAGAAGATCGTTTATTACTATTTCGACATGCATATAATTCAACCAATATTCTTCAGTTGATTAATTCCGCGTCAGACATAAGTGATGAAACTTTAATTGAAATTGTTTTAACTGGTAGAGGTAATGTATTAGTAACTCTTCATTTTTATGTCTAATTTATTTATTTATTTAGTTATTTTCATATACGTATATAAATACATTGATACATATTTTAGTACGGCTGAAAATTTAAAAAATACGTGTAAAAATAGCAGTTATTGTAAAATTATTATTTATACTTCTGGATAATAATTTTGTTGCTTACAATTCATTCGATTATATGAAAATAAAGAATAACTTTAATGTTAATGTTTTAGAGTTACCTCTTTCATCGGTTGCAGATGTTACCGTGGTACGCCCACACGCTCTTTCTGTTCATTCATACAAAAGTCCAACATTTTGCGATTTTTGCGGTGAGATGCTATTTGGATTAGTAAGACAAGGACTCAAATGTGATGGTAAGTAGTGAGTAAATATCTTGTACCTACTTATTACTTGAGAATATCTAAATAAAAATAATAGATTAATTATGCTTTGAATAATATTTGCCATATGTAACGATAAAATGTGCAGGGGCGCATTATCCATTACGTAAAATGGGTGTTTACTTAGGGCCTCCGACTAATTTCCAAGAAACAATAGAGACTGAAAATTTTCTAGAAAAAAAAAAAGAAATTCCAATTTTTAATAGAATTAAATAATTTCGTCCTTATATTTATTTAGTTAATATGTTAGTACACATGTAATATGTAATGTGTCCATATACTTGTACGAGTTTATATTGATATTTCCTACCCTGTAATTTGACTTTTTTCTATCTGGATAGTTGTGCAGTAAATAAATACAGGTAATATGAAATTTCGACTTATCTTCTTATTAAAGATTGTAAAAACTAATTTTATTAATGGAGGTAGAAGGTCATATACAGAATTCCTTTTAGACTAAAAATTTAACCAAAGATTTTTCTTGAACTTGAAGCAATAATTTTCAAAATATGAAAATATCCAAAATTGAGATAGAAGCGTCTAAATTCACACATTTAAACCACATGAAAACAGGTGGTGCTAAAAAAATTGAAATGTAGAACTATTACACCAAAATCATAAATAGGTTGTACAATAAAATTACTTTTGGGAACATTGAACTTAATAAATTGAATGTGTTAGAAATATGAATTTGACTTTAAAACAAACAAGTTTCAATAAGATAATTTCTTAAAAATTTTGCAATGAAAAATTGTAATGATGCCTAGTCAAAAATATTTGCAAATAATGACATTTTTCGTTAAGATGAATATTGAATAAAACATTTTGAATCCAGAGCTACATGGAGTCTGAAATTCAAATTTGCCTCACCATGTGAATTTATTGCAACACAGAAAATATACTATTTTATGTATATTATCATTTGGAACAGGAAAATGGCATAATAAAATATTTGTTCAATGCTCCAACATCCCTCATTCAAAGAATTTTTAATAAGAATGTAGGTTGTTCCTTTTTTTAAATTTTTAAACTTATTTAAAAAAAAATTCTTACAAAAATGTGGTGGATTAGGAGATGGGAGACTTTTCTGTTAAATCACTTGAGCTATTTTCTCTTTTAAACTTTTTAAAATATAGGATGAATGTGATAAAAGGTGGACAAGATATAATTATATTTTTATGTCAAATATTCCTCCTTGAAATAAAAACATGTTTCATTCATTACTTTAAAAACTTGTCTATTACAAAATTATAGAGGGAATCAGGTTTTTGTTGAAATATATTGTACATTTTCTTTTCATTATGACAGAAATAAATTGAATAAAAAGAAGTATAAAATACTATAAATTAGTGATGTAAAATAGCATGCTATTTAGTTTTGGGTGATATATATCAAAATATATATCATTATATATATCAGATGAATTTTGTTAAAAAAAAACTATACTCAAATTAGTTTTTTTATATTGCTAATGCCTTGCTGATTAATTTGACACCAAATACATGTCATATATATGAACTTTTAGAAAAGTTATCAAGTGATCTTTATTTTTTTTCANTTCTACCAATCTTCAGGTTCCACGTAGTCCGTCTTGTGGCTCGAATACCTCTCTTATTTCTGCAAATTCCGCACAAACTGAGGACAGTGGCTTGGTAAGACTTGCAAATTTTTTTACGGGTGTTAATATCAATAAGACATAGTTTTTGTCATTTCCTGTGTCCTTATATACATTACTCGTACATTTTGGCTATATGCTACCGTATATCTTTATGACGAATAAAATATCCTTGAGATTTGAAATGAATCTCTCATTAAAAAAACTTTTGAAGCAGTATTATTTGAATTTAAAATTGTTTTTACATGGCAATATGTGCTGCAAAACTTTCTACAATATTGTATTTTATTATATTATAATTTTGTCAGTTCTTAATTCCGTCCATTGTTAGTTTGGTGTATTGTACTTTGGTGGAGGTTTTTATATATTTTTGAGATATTTTTATTTTGTATATTTGTATTAAAATTTTTTAATATAATTTACGTTATTATGCTTTTGTTTTATTCAAAAACCTGAGTAGAGTAGTCTTCAAAATTCTAACTTTTATCGAACAAGAAAATTTTCAATTTAATCATATCTGAGCACAAAGTAAATAAGGTTTTTGAAATTTGTGTACAATTTCATATAATTGAATAGATTCTATTTGAAATGTATCAGTATAGAGGTCAATGATTAAACACGAAAAGAAATGTTTTCAAGAAAATAGAATTATTCTTGAATTGACCCACTTTTACTTTCTTTGCTACAATCAAAAATTTATGTGAATCTGAAAGTTTTTTGGAAATGAAATACGAGGGTTGCCTTTTATATTTTGGGAATAGAGAATAAAAAAAGAACTTAATCATCGTATATGGCTTTATTGTTTTTCAAAATATTCTACATGAAGATCAATACAGTTTTGCAAGCATTTGAACAAATTTTCTAAACACTTTTTCCATTCAATTGAGGTACCTCCAAAACATACATTTTGAACACATCAACTGCTTCTTCGAGTGCCGAAAAACGTTGACCTCGTAATTTATTTTTAATGTATAGTACCAAAGTCATTGAATGCCAAATCAGAGCCGTACAGTGGATGACTCACCAATTTGAATGATACATTTTCGGCGGATGATTTCCCTTATTTCTCTGAAGACTTCTGGCAAATAAATTGTTGTGTACCATTCAGAATTGACTGTCCAATGTTGCATTAATGGTACAGTTACCACATTTCCAATTTTTTTGAAAAATAAACAGGCAACTAATTACTTAAGAAGTGCTGTGTGTTTGAACAACTTTTGTTGGATTTGGCTCATCTTGAAAGACCTATACAGTCGACTTCTGTTTATTTTCGGGTTCAATGCATAGATCCATGATTTGTCACCTGTCACGATGTAACAGACGTGTTTTGAAGCAATTGCAATCATATTTATTTCAACCAATCGACATGAACCTTTCTTTGAGCATTTGTCAAATTATGTGGGATGCAACGCCAACAAATATTTTGGCCAGCCAAATGTCCATTCAATATTGAATGTATGCTGGTCCCTTATGCACAAGGATACCTCAATCTTAACGATAAGTCACATGACGATCTTGCAATATCAGTTCATGTACAGCATGGCCACAACTGAATTCCGTATACCACCGATACACAGTGGTTTTTGATAGTGCTTCTGTGCCAAAAGTCCAATTAAGTTCATCGATGCATTGTTGCTGAGATAATCCATATCGAAAGTTGTAAAAAATAATCACACGTAAACACCACAAATAGTGCCTGTATGTCAAAACGTTCTGAGTAAGTATACCTATAAAAAGTCGAACTTTACGACAGGCGTGTCGGTTGTCAGATGGCAGCACCATGATCTTCCGTTCCTGAAATATAAATGGTAACCCTCATATCAGAATACTTAGCTGCAGCTTCATACTATTTCCATTTATTTAATATTAAACAGATTTCCTTGATATGTTGATATACTTTTTAAAATAAACAAAGAGAAAACATCTTAGAATCATGATATGAACAGTGTGGTTATAAATAATAACTAGAAGACTTAGACAGAATGACTATGAATGACTAATTTTCTATGAAATAATTTATTTGTGACATTTTTTTGTAGTATTTACTATTGTAAAATTATTTTTAAAAGTCTAAAAATATATAATCCCTTGTGCCAAAAATGTCAGTTATTGGGCTGGATTTATACATTTGTTTTTACATAACCAGTAATATTTTACAGTGAGAAAGTTATAATTTCATTAAAAAGCCATAGAATTTTTCGGGCAAAGCTATCTATATAGGAGTGTGGAAATTGTGATCATTATGGTTGTTAATCTTGTTCAAAAAGTAAACTGGTTATGTTAAAAAGTGTTTAAAAAATGATCATAAAATTATGTTTAATACCTAAATTTTATGCCTGGACCTCGACTGCTTATGATATACATTCAAAAACAATTGCCAGGAATCAGATATTTCTATTTTATCTAAAACGCAAAAATACCTGTTAATAATCCATGTGATTGCAGCTTCCGAAAAACCTTTATACTTTACCTTATATAACTTAATCCATATTATTAGAACTAAAATCACTTTGCTGGTTTGTTTAGTATTTCTGATCTAATAATCACTAATACAGTTTTGTTAACTCAAATATTGCAAAATTTTAAAACGAGAACAAGTATTTATGTGATATTAAATATTTTTTCCCTAATTTTCCTGTTTTAATATACAGGGTATTAATTAAGTATGTACAATGAATTCAACAGACAATTATTTGAGTGATTTTAAGACAAAAAGTTCATATAAACATTGGTCCACAGATGCTTCGTTTTCAAGATACAGGATGTTAAACTTTTGTAAAAAAATTGCTATTTCATAAATGTCTTAAATTCTCTTTACCCAATTTTGTTGTAATTTGGCAGTGTTATTTGTACTTTATGTTATTTAGATGTTACATGTTATTAATAAAAAATTATAAAAAATGACAATTTCCAAAAGAAATTTTCCCCATGTTTCTTGTATGGTCCAGGGATATGCAATTAAGTGGATTTTATTTTTTTTTTACAAAAATTAATCAAGATACAAAAAACATTCAAGAGACAAAAAAGTTGTATTTTTAGTTGGTTAATTCAAAAAGTCGGTGACGTACATTTTTTTGTCAAAAATATTCGTTACGGTATCGCTTAGGATGCCACGGGACTTACTAAATCTAATCAAGTTAGGGTTAAATTAGCCCCTTAACACTACAAATAACACTGCCAATTTACAACAAAATTGGGTAAAGGGTATTTAAGATATTTACAAAATAGCAATTTTTTTTACAAAAGTTTTAATCATCTGCGGATCTATGTTTATATGAACTTTTTGTCTTAAAATCACTTAAATAATCATCTGTTGAATTTATTATACATACTTAATTAACACCCTGTATATAGAGCAGAGGCATTTATAAATTTATAATGTAAAATTAGAAAAATAAACATAATTGAGGTAAGTATGAATTCACGTTAAAATAAATATCAAATATGATATTTTCCTCAAAATATTTTCACACTTCATGTTCGTTAACAATAATATCTTTCGAAAAAATTGTAAAAATAATGAAAATATTGTTTTGAAAAATATTAAATATTTAAAAATATCAAACACCCACTAAATTATAAAAGTGGTAAACGAATATTATAAATATTAAAATTACATTAATCGAGATATAAACCGTTGTTTTAAAAATAAACCACCACTTTGTTTTTTAACTCATCTTTATTATTTAGATCACTAGACAGATCATATTATTTTCCACAATATGACAAAGAAATGGGAAATGATCATCATGGAATTAAATTAGGTATACATTTTATATAATAGTATTTAGACACAAAATATGTCAGGACAAGAGATTTTACATCGGCAGACTTGTATTAGTTACCGAAAGTGGCATGTTTTATGACATGATATACAGTGCAATTTTTTTAAAACCTTTTTTATTTGAAGTGATAGACTAGTACTTCCAAGTGCAAAGTTGTAGGAAATAACTTGATTAAGAAAAATTTACAAATAATTATTTCCAGTGTTGCCAGATTTCTGCAGTAGCTACTAAAACGATATTTTTTTAAATAGAAACACCGTATTTTTTAACGTAATTTGACAAACCTTCAAATTCTAAATAGAAAATATTGTCACATTTCTTTATTGGAGTAGCCGTTTTCGAACAGTCAGCAAAAACAACGAAAATAATCTGCAGTCGGCAGGAACTAAATGAAGCTAACACAGCAATAGTAGGCCTTGGATATTAAACAAAAATTAAAGAAAGGAGCTATCATTACTGTATTGTCATTGTGTTATTTGAAAGCTGTTGCATTTGAATGTGTATAAAAATAACGTTTTAATTCAGTTGCTAAGACGAATCAGTTATTTAATCCAAAAGAGAAAGTTTGAATTAATTTTTTTTCATGTTGGTGGCTTAAGTATACGCAATGCATGCACTGAATTCCATGCAAGACATCCCAATAAGTCTTTTCCAAAGCTGGAGTTTTTAAGAACTAAGTAAAACCGAAAACAACTGATAGGATCTGCAAAAGGCTGAAAATCATCTTCGCAACTGAATTAAAACGTTATTTTAACAGCTTTCAAATAACACAATGACAATACAATAATGATAGCTCCTTTCAAACAACACAATTTTTGTTTAATATTCAAGGCCTACTATTGCTATGTTAGCTTCTTTTAGTTCATGTGGGCTGCAGATTATTTTCCTTGTTTTTGCTGATTGTTCGAAAACGGCTACTCCAATAAAGAAATGTGACATAACATTTTTTATTTAGAATTTGAAGGTTTGTCAAATTATGTTAAAAAATTACGGTGTTGCCGTTTAAAAAAATATCGTTTAGTAGCTACTGCAGAAATCTGGCAACACCGGAAAGAATAATTTGTAAATTTTTCTTAATCAAGTTATTTACTACAACTATGCATTTGGAAGTACTAGTCTATTACTTCAAATAAAAAAGTTGGCCTATGTCAGGTTTTAAAAAAAATAGCACTGTATATATTCATTATTATTCGTATGTATTGTGTGTGAAGGATTTTACTTAATTGGTGTTTAGATAAACCAAAAGATACCTATAATGTTATTTCCAAACACAAATATTTTTTAAGCTGGGATAAAAGATACTACAACTATGGTTTATATTATACTGGATCTTGAAGGAAAATTAAGGAATACTGTGTAATCCCATTATAAATTTTTCAGTTTTTATAATTTGCATTCATAGTTGATATATTTTCAACTTGTATTTTTAATCAGTTTCAGGGAAATAACAAATCTCCTTCACTGGGTGGTCGGCCTGTATGGGTTGAAAAAGAACTATCTAGTAGAGTCCGTATACCTCACACTTTTGTTTTACATTCATATACAAGGCCAACGGTATGCCAATACTGCAAAAAGCTCTTAAAGGGATTATTTAAACAGGGTCACCAATGTAAAGATTGTAATTATAATGCTCATAAAAAATGCATTGACAAAGTACCCAAGGACTGCACTGGCGAGCTTCCAAAAGATGCTTCAGGTGAGATTTTCTTGACTATATGTTGTAGATGCTGAAATAAAATATTAGAATTGTTTCCACTTTAATAGAAAAAATTTAAGGATCACTATTTTCGAATATATGTAAATAAAACTTTTCTTACAGGTAATTTCGAATATGCAGATAGCTCGGCTAGCAACGACAGTCACAACTATTTACTGTTAGAAGATGATCAGGAGATTATAAAAGATACAGATACCTACACAGCAGAAAATGGTGCCAACAAATTCATAGAAGTTATTCCTGTTCATGATAATGACAACGATTTAGCTCCATCCACGTAAGTATAAAAAACAGAAATTTCAGTGCTTCTGTGCAAAATTAATTCTAGTATTTTTTTTAAGAAGGAAAAATTTTTATTACAGACAATTTGACATATTTGACAATTAACAACTGAAATATGTTTTAAGGATAAATGAGATATGTTTTTACATCAGCTTCAATTGATATTCTACAAAGTTATTTACTTGTGGCATTGTTTTAGTTTTTCCTCTTTAATTGGGTGATTGCAATCTGTAAAAAATAATTAATTTATGTTTTTTTATGTTTTATTTATGCCACAATAAATAAAAATAATTTCAGACATTTCACATTTCCATATCTAGTAACAAAAAAGGGATTTCTATGATACATTTATTTCTTTACTTAGTCATATATTCAGGGTTACCTGTTTTGTTGGTATTACAAGGTACGGGGTAAATAAAAAAGAAAAAAAAATAATATATGGATGTTTCCATTAATTTTTTTACTTCCAGTTTAATTTGATACACACGTCAATAAAGGGAATGAGTATTTTTAATAAAAGTGATTGCCACTTTGCACAGGTGCACCACTGATAACCAAACAAATTTTAGTTTTTGTTCAAAGAATCCCCATAATGAGATATCTGTAATAAAAATTTAAGAAAATTAAATCATCTGTTTATGAAATACACAAAAAAGTTCAACTTTCAATACCATGTATCTGATATATATTGAAACGATCCCTTTAGAGAAATATATTTCTGTTTTCATCTTGAAATTAAGAGCGTATAAAAATACACTAGAACCCCGGGCCGGCCGGTACCGAACCGTTGCTGGATAACAGAGGCCGACAATTTTCAGAACCAGAAACCGGACCTAGTGATCCGAAGGATTTTGGTGTGCTGATTATGAATCCGAGCTCAGAATTAATAGCTCATAAATAGCCCATCACCCTAGGTTCTCGAGATATTCTAACCTAAAAGTGCAAAAATCGCGGTTTTTAGCTATATTCGGGGTCAGATTACAACGTGAATTAATTTTTTTTCTTAATTCGCGTTAAACCATCTCAAAGTACCACTCTTACCTTATTTTTATGAAAATCTTTTTTTCCATGGAGATATGATATATTTAAGTTTAATACTTCAGCGATTTCGTTACAACATAGAAAACTTAGGTTAAGCTGTCATGGGATTAACCCTCGCTGGTTATTGCGAATTTAGGTTAACTTCTCGTAGGTTATAGTGCATTAGGATGAACCTGTCATGAGCTTAGCATGCAAATGTAACAGCGTGTATACATAGGTATCTGTTTCATATAGTATTCAGTTTTAGGTTAGAAAATCTTGAAATATTGAGGTTATGGAGCAGGTCCACCGGTGTTTTCAAATTCAATGAGTCTATGTCTCGTTTTTGCATAAATTTAGTTTATTTCCATGTTGTAACAAAATCGCTGAAGTACTAAACTTCAATCTATCATATTTCTATGGAAAAAAAATTTTCAAAAAAATCGAAGTGCGCTTGGAAGGGACTTTGAGATGGTTTAACGGGATTTTAGAAAAAAAAATAATTCATGTTGTAATCTGACCCCGAATATAGCGAAAAACCGCGATTTTTCCACTTTGAGGTTAGGAGAACCTAGGGTGATGGGCCAATTCTGAACTCGGATTCATAATCAGAGCACCAAAATCCTTCGGGTACACTAGATCCGGCCTCTGGTTCTGGACATTCGAAAAATTTTGTCGGCCTGTGTAATCGAAAACACGGTTAATCGAAATACCGCCCAAACTCACCAATTTTGCAAAAAATATGAACTTTATTATACATACCTATTACATACATTTGTACATATGTAGGTAAATAATATGTTTTGTTTCTGAACGCTTTTTTCGCCACGGATAATCCACGCACGGATAGCGGATAATCATAAACATTACGCAACGCACAAGCACGAAGAATCTGCGGCACAGATCTGCCGCGCACGGACAATCAGGGTTCTACTGTATAGAGGAAATATTTCGTAAAAAAATAATATTTTCAAATGAATTTACGAAATAGGAGCTAATTAGATGGATTTGGAATAAATTGTTTTAATATTCAGATCAATTATTCTAAAAAGAAATTAGGCCGAATAATTTCAGGCTGAGATTGATAATCCGATATCAATATTTCGGGTCATCAGGAAATTAAAAAATGTAACTTTTATTCTGAGTAATAAACTTAACACCATAAAACTATAAAACAGTTATGTTATTTCATATAACTGGGCAACGGTTATTGTGTTTTTTTTAAACATTTTAGCCGTAGTATTAGTAGTTTTTTTTCAAAAAATAGAATCAATTTGGATTACCGTGATTTTGAATTAACACATATTCAGATTATTGAAGTTCTACTGTTAATAAATTAGTGTAACTAACTTTAATTTTTTATGTGGAGTATAAGTTGTAGTACATCTTCCTCTCCAAGTGCCAATATTCCTTTACAACGAATAGTGCAGTCTGTGAAACACACGAAACGAAGAGGTTCGAAAGTTATAAAAGAGGGATGGTTGGTACACTTCACTAATAAAGATATGATGGTAGTTTATTTACAGGATTATAATTTGATATGTCCTAAAATGTATCGGTTTTTAGGTTCGGAGACATTTTTGGAGATTAGACACTAAATCTATCACGTTATTCCAAACTGAGCAGAGTTCTAAGTATTTTAAGGAAATCCCATTATCAGAAATTTTAACAATAGATACTGCCAGAATAAAGCAAGGCGGTAGGTTACACCAATTAAAAGGTGTTTTCGGAAACTATAATCAGAGCTCAAACAGAGATCCCTATCAAAAGAGAACAATTTTTTTTATAATTTTATTTTCTGATAATTATTTCTCCTAGTGCTCCTCACATTGAAATTTTATTAATAATATTTTTTCAAATACTTTGTAACGTAAACCGATTAATTTTTTAAACGACAGGTTAGAATGGCTACCAATCGCATTAACATGATCACAGTTTCCGAAATATCCTAAAGTAACTAGTACTAAATTAACCTTGTCGTATATCCACAGAGGTTATGCACTGTTTTGAAATTAGAACAGCTAATGTCGATTATTTCGTCGGTCAGGATCCACTACACGATCTTCAAGATGGAAACTCGGTAAATCTACCTCCTCCAGATAGTGGTATTGGTGCCTATCTGGCCAGGAGTTGGGAAACTTCTATTAGACAAGCAATATTACCAGTGCAAGCAAATATTAGTAAGTTGCAGTTAGAATTATTTATAATTTGTAGACCACTGGAGGAAATTAAATAAAAAACTTATACTGAAAAAAATTTGATTTGTGAGTTTAATGGTAGTTAGAAAAATTTTTAATTCATTTATTGCTATTAATATCATTAAAAAAAATAAAGAAAAAGTAAATTATTATATTAATAATGTACAGGATGTTTTGATATTCCTCTCACAAAGGTGACCGCAAAAAACCTGTTTTTCGCCCGTTTGTTCACATTTCGCAGAGAATTTAAAAAAATACATAAAAATATGTTTTTGGTCGCAAATTACTTATCGTAAAAAACTTAAATGATCATAGCTTTTAGTATTTTGAAAATTTAAAAAAGCACCCCTACCTAGGGGTTCAAAAATGACAAAAATGAAGAATTTGAACATTAGGTACCAATTGATATAAAAACTATTAGCATGTGAATTATCTTAATATTTTTTTTGGAATTTTTAAAATTATTTCTGATATTCTCTATTTTTGGGGATGATTCCACCCCCTGAGCGCGCTTAAGGGTGGATTTTCTAATTCAACATGGTTATTTCAGTCATGAGAACAAATCTTTTTCTGTATCAGGGGTGATTTTGAAAATTTTCAAAAAACTAAAAGGTATACTCATCTTAATTTTTTATGACGAGTAATTTGAGACCTAAAACATATTTTTATCTATTTTCTTTAGTTCTCTGCGAATTGTGAAAAAATGGACGATGGGAGATAAAAGTTTATAAAGGGGGTTATCCATTTTCTCCTTGGGAAAGTAAAGTTTAAAAAAACACACTGAATATTTAAATTTCGATGGAACTTTTATTTCATACTAAAATTTGGACTATGCCATTATGCGCATGAAAAACAATATCATTCAAATGTTCTCCACGGAACCGTTTGCAAGACTCAATCTTTTTGAAGACTTTTTCACACAATTCGGGCAATAATTCGGCCATAACTTGACGTATCTCGTCCTTCAATTACTCCAAAGTTGTGGGATTGTTCGCATAACCACAGTCTTTCACAAAAAGAAATCTAAAGGCGTTAAATCGTAGGATTTTGGTGGCCAAGCCACATCGCCGAATCTCGAAATTACGCGTTCTGGGAATTTCTCGCGCAATAGGTTATGGAGCAGGTCCACCGGTGTTTTCAAATTCAATGAGTCTATGTCTCGTTTTTGCATAAATTTAGTTTATTTCCATGTTGTAACAAAATCGCTGAAGTACTAAACTTCAATCTATCATATTTCTATGGAAAAAAAATTTTCAAAAAACTAAAAGGTATACTCATCTTAATTTTTTACGACGAGTAATTTGAGACCAAAAACATTTTTATCTATTTTCTTTAGTTCTCTGCGAATTGTGAAAAAATGTACGATGGGAGATAAAAGTTTATAAAGGGTTATCCATTTTCTCCTTGGGAAAGTAAAGTTTAAAAAAACACACTGAATATTTAAATTTCGATGGAACTTTTATTTCATACTAAAACTTGGACTATGCCATTATGCGCATGAAAAACAATATCATTCAAATGTTCTCCAAGGAACCGTTTGCAGGACTCAATCTTTTTGAAGACTTTTTCACACAATTCGGGCAATAATTCGGCCATAACTTGACGTATCTCGTCCTTCAATTACTCCAAAGTTGTGGGATTGTTCGCATAACCACAGTCTTTCACAAAAAGAAATCTAAAGGCGTTAAATCGTAGGATTTTGGTGGCCAAGCCACATCGCCGAATCTCGAAATTACGCGTTCTGGGAATTTCTCGCGCAATAGAGCCATAATTGGCCGCGTTGTGTGGCATGTGGCCCCATTTTGTTGAAACCACATATCGTCCAGATCAAAATCTTCAATTTTAGTCTAAAAAAAGTCGACGATCATGGCGGAATACCGCTGAGAATTGACGGTAACGGTGGCTCCTTCGTCGTTCTTGAAGAAGTACGGCTCGATGACACCGCCGGCCCACAATGCACACCAAACAGTTACATTCTGCCGGTCCAATGGTCTCTCAGCAGTCACTTGTGGCTGCTCACTACCCGAGATTTGGAAATTTTGCATATTAACATAGCAGCCGAGCTTGAAATGAGCCTCATCACAAAAGATTTTCTTCGAAAAATCAGGATTGGTGGCCTGTTGTTCCAGCACCCAATTGGCATACTCACGGCGCAATCTATGGTCAGCCGGCTTGAGTTCTTACGGGAATTGGACTTTATACGAATGGAGATGCAAGTTCAAATGCAAAATGCGCCACAATATGCCGCATGACAGGCCCAAATGCTGAGTTCGACTTGGAATCAAAAGATTCGGATCATCGTTAACACTTCCACTCACAGCGGCTATGTTTTCGGTTGAAAGGGCAAAAGGATGATGCACAGGTCTTATGATGTCTGTTACCGATCCAGTCTCTTGGAATTTCCTCACTTGGTGGTTGTTTGCTGGGATGGACGATTATGTCAATCATAATCTCCATTTAATGCGCGAAATGCAGCCACCGAAGATCCACCATTTTCGTAGCATGATTTAATAATTTTAATGCGTTGTTCGGTCGTAAAACGTTCCATATTGTGAAATGGCAAACCTTTAACTAAACAAATACCAGTCTGGATGATATTGACATTTGACAAATATCAATTGACAGGGCTTTACTATCCCAAGCTCAAAATGGATAACCCATTATAAATGAAGGACCACAAACACTACATAGCATCATGTTTTATTTTTTTTATTCTCATTTATTTTATACATTTCATTCAAACATGGTTACATTCAATATTTTGTTATTGTATATTTTATACAATATACTTTTTATAACCATGACCCTCCAAATCTTCACAATACTGTCTTTTTTGGTCTCGTAATTTTTTTTTATAAATTTTCATTAAAATACAACTTAAAGATTGACGAGCTTTTTAGGTGGTTTTAAGGAAAACTATAATAAAAAACATGATTTTCAGTATAGCAATCTAAACTAGCTAACGGTACCATTTCATGTACCAGAAAGCTTGTAGAACACATGAAAAGAATTTAAAAAAATAATAATAAAACGTTATCGTCCTGTATCTCAAAGACAAAGTTTTCCTAGACGTATATTTTTGTCTTATTTTTAGTCATATTCACCTGTACCATTTTTATTAAAAATTATATGGTTTATAGAACATGAAGAAACTTCAATTAGTGAGGAACATATAACAGACATGAGCCAAATTTATCAGATATATCCTGATGAAGTTCTTGGTTCCGGTCAATTTGGAATAGTTTATGGAGGCATACACAGAAAGTCAGCACGACCCGTAGCTATTAAGGTAGGTAGTGTTTATTTTGAAATTCTAGCATTTGTGTTGTGTTATTTAAGTAAATATAACAGGACTGTGAATAAGTTTTGAGGGATTTACAATAGATGGTGTAACTTATGCCATATCACATCGGACACTTCTGTAGTTATATTCATGTCAGAGCTATGTCATTAGACTATACTTTTTATTATGTCTGAAGTGTAAACAACATATTTCAACAGAAACTTGGTGGATAGCATCAAATGATGAGTTGTTTTTTGAACACAGAATCCTTTGAAAAATAATGATGTACACAATTTTTCACGATAAAGCCTTGAATTTACAAAAGGATCCCTCAAAATTAATTTACAGTCCTTCTAACATTCTCGTTTTTTCATGTATGCCAAAATTTTCATTATTTAGACATGTAGGATATGTTTTATATTTCACTATATTTTTATGTTTAAGCACACTTTATTTTTGACTTTAAACTTTATTATTTCCATAATTTTTTATCAAATTTTAGGTGATAGATAAATTACGATTTCCCACAAAACAAGAAGCACAATTAAAAAATGAGGTTGCTATACTTCAGAATCTGTCTCATCCAGGAGTAGTGAATCTGGAACGTATGTTTGAAACTCCAGAAAGAATATTTGTGGTAATGGAAAAATTGAAAGGTGATATGTTAGAAATGATATTATCCCATGACAAAGGGCGACTGACTGAGCGTGTAACAAAATTTTTGATTACACAGGCAAGTATTTTGTTTTATTAAAAATATATTTGATTCACTTAACGCTACAGAGTGTCAGTGATATAAGTGCCATATGTAACGATACCGTAAAATAAACACAAAACGCAAGGATATTTAAAAAGAAGTTTAAATTTTTTCTGTTTGATTAGACAACAGCTTATACACAGTTGGAAAATCCACATGGTCCATCTGCCTTTACATGAGAGCGACAAAGTAAAGTAAAGAAATCTGTGCGATAGACAAGGATGACTATATTGAAGACGTTTCATAATCTGAATAGTCTAGTGTCTTGTAAATGCTGAAAAATTCCTAGTAGCATTCTTATTTCCAAAAATAAACTCTTGAAGTTGCTTCTTGTGTTGAATTTCACTGAAATACACAAATATGTGACTCCACAAATAAAATTCTGTAGGATTCATATCCGGTTACCAAATAGGCCAATGATGTAGTCCACTTCTTCCAATCGAAAGTTCTCCAGATACTTTGTTTAACTGTTGGATAACATTTTACAAATTATGTGGAGGAGTAAACTACTACTCCTTTCATAACCCATGCTGATACTTAAAGTAAAGTACCATGGCTTTTCGGGTTGTTATATGTATTGTAGCCTTTGTACCTGGTCGCCACCAGTTACAGACTTATATTTCACTTCCTTAGCCTTCTTCTTCTTCCTAGTGGTTGGTCCTATAAAGTCCCATAGCACCGCGACATAATTAAGCCTATTGTGCGTCCCACTACTACTCCTATTCAGCAAGTTGACAAAGTCCAAAAGCTTCCTTGTTGACACTTCTCTCAGTTCCTTAGGTTCCAAATAAGGTCTCCCCAGGAGCGCCATTTTGCTACATGCAAATCCCGGGCACTCGCCCAGGATATGCAGAGAAGTTTCATCCGCCGATTCACATCCTCGGCAGACCGGACTGTTTATAAGCTTTAGCTTATGTAGATGTTTCCCTAAAGTGACAGTGTCCCGTTATGAATCCTGTCACTCTCCTGAGCCGGATTTTGTTCAAACTCAGTAAATTATCTGCTCTTTCCTTCGAAAGATACTCCATGAGCTCCTTAGAATGGCTATGTCCTGGCCTTGAAGTCCATTATTTCTTGTGTTCTGTCTCAGTCCATTTGCCCAGAGCCCGCCTGACCACACTGGGAGATGTGCCACAGAAGGGCTCCGGGCCAATGAACTCTGTCTCGGATCCCTTCCTAGTAAGTTCATCCGCTTTCTTGTTTCCACAAATGCCTTTGTGCCCTGGCACCCAACCCAGTCTAACTGTATTATTGGTGGCCAGTTCAGTCAGCATTTGTAAACATCCCACACCAGTTTTGAACTTATCTTGTGTGCGCCTAAAGCTATAATTGCAGCTTGCCTATCAGAGAATATATATAGGGTTGGAAAATCCACATGGTCCATCTGCCTTTACATAAGAGCGACAAAGTAAATTAAAGAAATCCCTGCAATAGACAAAGATGGCTATAGTGAAGACGTTTCATAATCTAAATAGTCACCGCCCGTTTCGGGTTAGAAGTGAGAGTGACTATTCAGATTATGAAACGTCTTCAATGTAACCATCCTTGTCTATCGCACGGATTTCTATGACTTACTTTATCGCTCTCTCGTAACGGCCGATGTACCATGGGGACTTTCCGAACCTGTATATGAGTTTACATTTATAACCTCTACGTACATTCTCTGCCAGACACGCCATTATCGCGAAAATTTCTGCTTGGAATACGGTAGCCTTAGTTAGGAATCTTTTATCTGCCTTTGTTGTCCTCATGCTAGACTCTGTCTGTAGATCTGCTAGTAGAACCCTTAGGCTCATCCTGATGTTTATTTCGATTCTTATTGTTGGTTCTGAGGTCGGTACAAAACCGCTTCTCAGAAAATGTCAGTGCACTGAGACATTCCATAGTAACCTCTATAACTAATCGTATTAAATGTTTTCAAAGATTTTTCTGTTCTTCACTATCAATATCCTCAGTGGTGATTCTGCAAAAACTTCGTCGTGACTAAGGCCGTTTGAAACTTCATTACCAGACTTATAGCGTTGGCGAATAAACATCTAACCTATGCAGTACAGTGGTGAAAGTTTGTTGAATGTTTCTGGAGGTACTCGGGGCCATGCCCTTACGTTACTTTATAGGACTAGAAACTATGCGGCGGTATTGGCGTCATTGACAACGCAAGCTGTTGACTGATTTAGAATTTTGCTAATTCCATAGAAAGTATTTTTTCTTGAAAATTATTAAATTTGATATCCATGTTGTATAGAACTTTGTTACTTGATATATATCACATGTACAGAGTACATCACTTAACATTCTACCCTACTTTTTTACTTTCTTTTCTGTCTTTCTTACTTTTGAAGTTTTAGGAATTGGTGGTGTAATTTACTTGTGATTTCAAAACTGTGCTTAGAAAAACAATTGAATATTGCATTTTGAAGATAAAAGCCAAACATATATTTTTTTTGTAAAACACCCTGTATGTTTACAGCTATATGAAATTCAATAGGTCTATCTCTAATAATAAGAGTGATATGGCTAGTCTAAAAGGTTACTTTGGCCATATTTTCCTTATTATTAGAACTGTAATCTGTTCTGTCAAAGTTTGGCTTCCATCTCTGAACATGCATCCCATTTTTCCTAAGTACAGTTTTGAAATCACAAGAAAATTTCTTATAGCTGTTTTACATTGACAATTTATTCATGAATAAATTGATGAAGTTCTTCATGAATTAATTCACGAATTTATTGGTAAACAGTGTGGCTGTGGCTTTACACTGCTACAGACTTTGTCAAGTTTTTTGTCGGATGAATCAGTTCTGCCAATGAATCAAAGAAGCAAATAAATTTCAAAAATGTCACCTTTGCACTCATAATTGTAGTGATACAACAGCAGTACCGTTCTGACACATATTATATAAATATTAGTTTTTAAAAGTAACAAATCAATAAAAACAATTCAAAACTAGCACAACGCCACACAATTATTTATTTACATATTCCAATAACATAACCTCATTACTGATCTGAGGCTGGAAATCTGTTGGGTTGGCACTTCTGAACTTCACGAAGAAATTGACAAAAATTAGAACATGCTTTAATTCGTCAAGAACTTGATGAATAAATTCATGATGTTATTTGACAATACACTTGTCCAATTTCTTGATGAAGCGACTTTATGAATTAATTCATCATAAATTGTCAACGTAAAACAGCTATTACAACTGGCCCATACAATTTTTTTTAAAAAACCAAAGCAACAAAGATAAGAGGAAAGATGATATATGTATAACCCTATACAGCACTTATATTGCAGACACCCTGTACATTCAATGTTAATGAAAGTCACCTAATCTAGATTTAATTTCAGATTTTGATAGCTTTAAAACATTTGCACAGCAAAAATATTGTTCATTGTGATCTAAAACCAGAAAATGTCTTGTTAAACTCTGATGCCGAATATCCTCAGGTGAAACTTTGTGACTTTGGATTCGCTAGAATCATTGGAGAAAAATCTTTTCGTAGATCTGTTGTAGGAACTCCTGCTTATTTAGGTACAATCAAAATTTATTTCATATGTAGTAATTAAGCAAGCAGGGTAGTATAAATTCACTAAGCGAAGTATATGCTTTTTTTAATTAAATTTCAGCTCCTGAAGTCCTTCGAAATAAGGGCTATAATAGATCATTAGATATGTGGAGTGTAGGTGTAATTGTGTATGTGAGCCTGAGCGGTACATTCCCATTTAATGAAGATGAAGATATTAATGAGCAAATTCAAAATGCTGCATTCATGTACCCACCAAATCCTTGGAAAGAAATATCATCAGCTGGTAACACACTTACAATAATAACAGTACGAAGTTTTAATAAACTTTCATTTTTAGCTATTGATTTGATCAACAACTTGCTCCAAGTTAAGCAAAGAAAGAGGTACTCGGTGGATAAATCTTTACAACATATATGGTTACAGGTAATGTAATGTAATATTTTGCACAATTTTCTTCTGGTTCTAAGAATTTTTTTGTCAGAAGCGCCAAAATTATTAAGTGTTTTTTTAAATGCTGCACATTTTAATTCATGAGATTTATAAATATTATTTGTTTATACAGGGTAGTGCTGGCAACTGAAATCGGTTTCAGATAATTCGGATTTTTACAAAACCCGAAAACCTATTTTGGCCATTATTCTAGTAATCCATTATTCGGTTATTCTAATAACCAGTTTTAGAATATCCGGTTTTAACCACTATTCGACTAACAGTTTCACCTTTTTCTGGTTTTTGGCCAGCACTGAACAGAATTGTTTGTGTGTGCTTATCACAGTTGACTGTTATCTTTTTAAACATAATAAAAAATAAACAAAAACACTTACTAGTCTAATGGATTTTAAATATTTTTTAAAATCATTTCAAGTTTCTAATAAAATGTGTTTTTATTTTTTAAAGCACTTTGTTTATTTTGTGAATCTCAATGTCAATGGCCTCTGATAATGACCTAGTTTAAGCGAACTCATAAATCCATCGGATATGACTACAGGAAATTTGAGAAACAACAAACAAATGTTAATTCCACGAAACAAGAATGGCCGATTTGTCACCATTTCATTACATTTATTTTCATTTATCGGTTTACGGAAATGTGTCTACAGTGTGGTAGGTGGCGACTTTCTGCGTGAAGTATTGCTTTTTACTGAAACAGTAAAGTATGTTGTGTGCCTTGATTGTTAAATTTCTGTGTGATATGGAAAAAACATTAAATGAATCGAGAAAATGACATTTGACAATGTATGTAGTTCGTAGTTAACACTCTGTTGTTTGAGATTACACTAGTCTGTCCAGGGGAGGATTATAGAATTATAAGTATTTCTAAAGGTCAAAGGTAGAATCTGTACAAATATGACCCCCATTTAATGTTACACTCTGTACACTGAAAAAGGTATCAAAAAATATACAAGTTTTGCACTTCATATTCCGTCTTCTGCAAATTAAAGAGTGACCGCAAAAAACCTATGATTTTCGCCTGTTTTTTCACAATTCGCAGGGAATTAAAAAAAATACATAAAAATATGTTTTTGGTTCCAAATTACTCGTCATAAAAACTGAAATGAGCATAGCTTTTAGTATTTTGAAAATTTTAAAAATCGTCCCTACTTAGGGGTTGAAAAAATGCCAAAAATGAAGAATTTGAATAATATTGCCAATTGATATAAAAACTATTAGCATGTGAATTATCTTTATATATATTTTTTTGAATTTTTACAATTATTTCTGATATTCTCTAGTTTTGGGGATGAATCCACCCCCTGAGCGCGCTTAAGGGTGTATTTTCTAATTCAACATGCTTATTTCAGTCATGAGAATAAATCTTTGTATCAAGAATCATTCGATAGAAAAATTCACATACTAATAGTTTTTATATTTATTGGTAATATTCAATTCTTCATTTTGGGCATCTTTTCAACCCCTAAATAGGAGTTATTTTTGAAAATTTTCAAAAAACAAAGCTATGCTCATCTTAATTTTTTATGACGAGTAACTTGAGACCAAAAACATATTTTTTTCTATCTTCTTTAGTTCTCTGCGAATTGTGAAAAAACGGGCGATTTTTGCAGTCACTCTTTATGTTTTTAAATCAGAACTGACTTTTTGCATATCAGATTCACGCTGATGTGTATTTAATATGATTGGCACAATACTGCTCTCCGTTACGAAATGTAGTACACTTTTAATTTTAAAATAATAATTTGCATAAAAAGCTAAATAATTGATATTTAATATATATTTTTAGGATTATCAAACCTGGTGTGATTTGAGAGTACTGGAAAACCAAGTGGGGGTGAGGTACTTAACACACGAGTCAGATGATGACAGATGGGAGAGACACAGATCTGACGTATGACCTGAAAAGGGATGGCTGCATAACGTTAAAAAGTGCCTTCGGGGTATCAAAACATGAAAACCTAGAAGGAAAAAATTTTCAAATGTGGCTGGTGAATAATTTGAGCCAATATTCTTTAATGATTCCGATTATCACGAAAAGTTTAAACAGATACGTTGAATTTAAAGTATTATTTAGTTTCCTTGATATAAAAATAAAGAAAGCACATATATTGACTCGTAATAAGTTAAAATAGAGATTACTAAATCTTAAAGCATATATATGAACATATAATGTAAGAAGTTTAACTAGTTGTCATTCCTTATTATTAAATTATTTATTTATTTTAATTCGGGTAAAGTGCTTTACTGAAATAGATTATTAAGTTATGTTAAATGTGTATAAATATATTTTTTTACTTTTTTTAATATTTTTTTAATTTGGCATAACATTTACATCTACTGTACTGCTCTGTTAGCGAAATATTAAAGTTACCCAAAAAGTTTGTAAATAAGCACTGATTCTAAAACTCGGGATTGGATGAAAAAAAATGTATTTTTGAATAAAAAATTTCCTATGGATAAGGACTTGAAAATGCTAAATAAAAAAGGTACGGTGACAATGGGTTGCCAAAAACCAATTCAGAGATTATTAAAAACTCTCATAAAAAGTCGATAACTTTAGTAATTTCCGAGGAAGAATGTTTTATGAAAATATTTTGTGGCCACGTGAATTCAAATCCCAATTATTAAATTTCACAATCTTAATTTTGTTGTATATTCAAACTCTACTTCATTTATAATAGGTATAGTCTTTCCGAAGTCAGTTGAACATGTACAAAAACGCCTGCAATAAAATTTAATGAGTTTCATAGGCGCCCCTAAAAAAGTTTTCTGCTAAAAGTAAAAAATTATAATAATTTGTATATAATGTGTAGAAAATTTCTACATATTATATGTTCATTTGACCAACAACATATTTTTATTATTGATGTCCTCAAACAATTATACTGATGGTAAATTTCATTTTGTTCCCTTTCAAAAGGTCATGTAATGATATTAGTAAATGAAATATCCCTGTGCCTATAATAAATTAAAATTACCTGAATCACACCAAATTCCGCGTTGCTGCACTGCACTGCTAGGCAATTTGTCAACAGCTGACATTGCCCATATGCCCATGATTTATTGCCCAGTGGCCCAATGCAGCTGTGTTTGTATTTCGTTTGCCTGCGCTCGCATTCTTCAACTGGGCATATACATTTCTACCACCTCTACGTTTAGTGCGACCAGACCTGTATATGGGTATATGGCTAAATAAATATGGGAACAAATTTTTCAAATATTTCAATGCCGAGTTGCGTCAGCGACCGAACCTGGTACATACTGCCAACCTCTTGGTTCTTCAATCGGATCGGAATACTATACTATAGAATTTTTTAACTACAGTAGAACCCCGATTATCCGTGATGTATGGGATCGAGCGCGGCACGGATTATTGAAAATCACGGATAATCAACACTTTTATTTTTTACATAAGAAATGAAGCGATACCACATATCTAACCCATATGCGACACTGAGAGAGAAAGAGCTACTTTGTGCAACACAAATGGAGATACATCCAAGTTAAAGGGACTGAACGCATGCGTATTTCCAAACAGAACAGCTGTGTGACAACGTAAGATGATATTTTCAGATTTACTATTATTTCGGCAATAAACAGAATAAATATGAAATACAAAACTATAAGGATATATAAATTTTGTAGAGTAAAATAGAATGTTTGATTATTTTGCCCATAAAATGATGCTACTCGTATGAACGGTTTTTATCTGCGAATTAAATACATTACCAATGAAGCCTGAATACTTCCGAACATATCTATCTTATCTCCGCGTGGTTTCTGTGAGTGACGTTACGTATAATTGTATAAATCATATAATAGCCATTTTGTAAACATTGTTGCCGTTAGCTGTATTGGAGTGTTTTAACAATTAATTGTATAATTATTACTTTTTATATAGATAAACTTAAATTTCTTATAAAAATTGTTTAAATATTAAATTTTTGTAATATAAATTGTTCTTTTAAATGTCGATAGAAAAATGTGGACGCCCAGAATTAATAATGCATGGATAAAACGATTTCAAATTTACATAACTAGTGTAACACCTTTTGGAAGTTTACTATCCCTAAAATGACATATTTTCTATATTCATTACTCAGTTAAATAACAAATTTGATTGATAATTGTATTTGTAACTACCCAGGAAACCCCATTTATAATTTTTGTAAAGATGTACCTCCAGTTCAACATCTCTGTCCAAATTTTCCTTTGGGCTATTTAATAAAGTAACTTGTAATTCTGCGAATTTACTACTACATAAAATCTATTAATCAAAATTTTAGTAAAACTCTAACATAAAAAATGTAAAATTAAATATGTGTAATTTGTTATTAGGTATTTTATTTCAACAAAAAAAATAATAAACACTTAGCAATTTTATTTTAATACATTAGTTATCTAATTTATCATCCCGTTTAGACAGACACTTTATTAATTAAGTGAAAAGTGTGATAAATGTAGGTGTAAGCATTTTATGTTTATGTTCATTCAAAATTTCGAACTGACGACACTTTCTTCAGATATCAATTTTTATTGCCCAATCTGGCAACGTTTAGCATCCAGTTTAAATGGACAAGGTCACCGGCGGCATTTGTACCATATCAAAGGGGTGTCGCATATGGGTTAGATATGTGGCGATACATAGGTAAACATGCACAAAATCATTGAACATGCAATTTAGGTACATTTATTTGAAGTAGCTAGCTATACTTTTTTAACAGTCAATCAGTTTGGTTCGGTTTTTAACTTTGCTGTTTTTTACATTTTCTGACGTATTTACGTAAGTTTAAAATGTTGTCTTACTCAAAATAGGCTCATAGAATATTTGCAACTTCAGATCTTTAGCCACAACACCTGAAGTTTTACAGACTTTACTGATCTTTACAGATGGATTTTCAAAAATTTGGTGAATGTCCCAATAAATTTTGTACGCTTTATTTGGGATCACTCTGTTACAATGTACTCAGAAAATCAAATCTTGTTAAAACATATGTTAAAATAAAAAAAAAATTGATAAGAGCATTTTTGCCAAAATTCATTCCCTCTGATAGACATTTATATTTATTCCTTATTGGCTTCTAAAAAGCTTTCATAAATATTTAGAAGCCTGGTGACCACCAAGCTTAGGCAACCAACATGGCACGGCTGGTACTGTCAACTAAAAATGTCTACATCTTAGTGTCACCTGTATTAATATTCATTTATAATGAACAATGATAAACCATTATGTCTACGGTCGAGATAATGTGATTGCTGAGTGGTTGAATAGAATCTCATGAAAAATTACACCAATCACCAGCAGTGAAACAAATTGTAGTGTTTTAATGTAATCTTTATCTTATTGTTTTAATTCTACCGAAATTTTAATTCCCAACCTGAAAAAAATAAAATTACTGGTCACGTGGCTTGTAATCATTTATAAAGGCTCTAAATTTCAATGGGTCTTAACACTACACTAGAATTTCAATTCCACTTTTGGTACTAGCTATTATTCTAACTGATATAATGTATCAGCAAAATACAAGATTATTGTAATAGTTTATCTAAAGACCTACCTATATCAAATTTCTTTGGATCTCATAATTTATTTTGAAATTGTTTAAAATGAGTTTTATTACCCTGTACCTTATTTACCAAGTGTTTTCAGGCCCATGTCCATAGAAATATTTTTACTTAAAGTGACATTTCTATCTCCTGTGTGTCAGTTTGGCTACATATTTTAGAATCACTGTGTATTTATAAATTTTATTCATTGACAAATATACTGCTTAATTCTACTACATGCATTTTTAAGAAAAATCGACCAAGTAATATATTTGCTACCGTACAAATCTGTCAATTTTTTATTAATCAAGACAAATATTAGCTGTGTTTGGTGAAGCAGTGCAGGACTTTCTAGACTAGCAATCTCTTCTAGAAGACGTTTGTTATATTTTAGGATTTATTAAATTATATGAATTAGGATTAAATGATCTAAGCATCAAATTTTGAATGCAATGGATTTATTTATAAACTGGAATTACAGAGAACTTGCTGGCTGAAAGCCTTATAATAAATTTGAAGCAAGTTGGAAGTTTCAATTTCTGTGAAGTTTGCTATATAACATGTACCCTTTAATAGGTTTACAGACTATTAGAGTAATAGCTTTATTCAACGAATGAATTTGCAAAGGTTTTTGTATACGTGACTGATTTCAAATCAAATCAGTTTTAAATCTTATAGGAATGCACTTTTTAGTTTTTTTCTTCTAACAAATAAAATTTTAATATTAATAATTACAATAATTTATATTCTCTATAAAAAAGAATTGCTCAGGAGTACATATATATATTTTACGTACATAAAATTGAAACGGTGAATAAAGGCCAAAATCCCCTAGCAATATGCCACCCCATGCCACGAAAGTGTGTGCATATATGTTTCCATTTGATTTCATGTGTCACATACACCCATGTTACACCACACGTCAGGACATGCTGAACCTTCTTACCTCCCACAACCCACGACTTCTTGTTTTATATATTTAATTTAATATTACTTATTTTATATTAAAAATTTTAGGAAGAATGCAAGAAATTCTAATTGAAATGATACAACATGAGTTTCTTTACATTTAGAGCAGTACAAAGATTCAGTGGCGGCTCGTGACATTGAAAATAGGTGAAGCACCTTTATTCATTGACTAAAAAGAAAAAAAAAAAAGCGCCACAGGCGAAAATTTTTAAATTTTCATGATCACACGGATTTAAATTAATCTAGTTGCATTTACAATATTACCAAAAAACTGAAAAATAGAAATATTAGTTCGGCTTGCGAACATTAACGCACACCGTATATGTATGTTTCAAAGAAGCTTTGTGGTTACGACAGCCTCGCATGACGTTTCCAAAATTGTTAAATCCCTCCTTATTCCACACGCCCTTCTTTACACCCACAATTGAACACATCCACACAACCACTTATAATCCGAATACCATTCATTCCGAAACTTCCAAACGTACACTTTGGCTTTTTTCTTTTTTCCACATCGAGAGAAAGCACAGGTCTCTCGCAATTTAAAAAATCATTTGTGTCCTCAATTTTCCATTATCGAAACTGGCATTTCCAATAAAATACATACTGGATCATACATACGAAAAAAAAGTATTAATAAAGAACCGTTATGATTGTGCACTAGTCGACGTATCGTATACCAGGCGATGGGCGATGACAATGCTGTTTCAATTTCTGCGTCACTCGTTCCGTCACGCCGTAACTTACTCCGGTGTTGGCCGCCTCGTTACCATGACAACTGCCGTAAACAATGCTACGAAGACAAGCAGTTACAAACTGATTTCAATCTGCATCAGTTGCATATACTATACGTTGTATGGTACGAGGTTGATGTTCGCGCTCAACGAAGGCAATGTTTTATTAGGCGTTCACCGCGCAACTATTCTGTTTATTTCTACGTATAAAACAAACAAACACAATACATTTCCAATATAGAATTATACCTCAATTATAATATATATAAAATTTAAAATAATTTTAAATTGCACAACCAAACGGAAATTTTAGTTGAAGCGGTGCGTCTCTTGCATCACCTGGCGAGCCGCCACTGCAAAGATCAATCAAGTTATGGATTAACAATATCAAAATATCACAAACTGAACTATAGAGAACTTAAGTGCATGTACCAAACCAAAAATTTCTTGAATCCTTGAAAGTTATTACAACTGATTGCAAGCTACGGATTACT